TCCATTACTGAAGAAAGAAGGTAAAAAATATATAAGATTAAATCCTGTTCTGCGACAGAGATCAGTTATTGGCCATAAGTAGCACTGCTGTATATGAAAAATACTCAACTGATAGCCTTTACAAGTAATTGAGTAAAGTCGATGTAATAGTCTGTTTTAATTTTTACAGTTAATCATCTAGTAACATATGGTAAATGAATTCATTTATCAATACGATAGCTCAGCATTAAAAAAGTTCTATGCCATTCCACTAAAAATCGATCGCAAAAGAAGTATAAGTCATACATATAGAGCTGTTCTACTGAAATTAATAAACGCCATTGTTTATATCCTATTGGAAGACAATAGTATGATATGTATTAATAGATACGTACAGTATCCAATTGATATTTTAATAAGAGGCCAATCATTCCAATATCATGTGATATTGTTGCTACGGTTATTATTTATCTTACAAGTACAAAGTATCAGAAAGAAGACGATTAAACTAGATGCTAATTTGATCAATAGTTTAACATGCAAGTAAAGCAGATTTTAGTCATTTAATCAAGCTACCCTTTGACTTTAATCGTCAAGACTGTCGTTTCTGTATAGGCAGATATCAGAATCAAATATTTCTCTTAATTATTTCATTAAAGTATTGTAATTACCGTTCATATCTCAAAGCGATATTGACGCAAAGCGTAATTCTTCAATGCTGAAGCATCTTTCAACAAATCACTTTTTAAATATTGGTGAACTGAATTAGATGATGTCATGTACTGTTCTAACCTTTGATTTTTGTCAACCGCTTTGCATGATAAAAGTAATAAAAAGAATTCTTTCTTGACGGTCTGTTTGATGCACTGATAATAACAAATAATATTGCAAGGTGAAAACTTGAAGCTTAGGTGTACCGAAGGTGCTGCTTGCAATTTCTCATTAAATTGAACTGTCAAGGTAGAAAGGTACCATTCTGAAATTGGCTCATCTTCTCATCATTAGAGTGCAATATAATTGTGACAATGATAAAGCCTGATATGAATCAATCGATATTGCCTAAGATCATATTAATCAACGTATAATGACTATTATGTGCTAATTACGCGAACAACTGCCGTCTTACTTGTTTCACCATTAGTACATGTTGTCAATTTTTTACTTAGTCTCTGATA